CACGTGTTCTAAAAGAATCAGGATTGGTGGTGTTCATGGTGTTGTCAAGCAGAACGTATAGACATTCTCATAGGTTAACATGTAACAACAATATTGTCTAGAGGGAGAACGCGCGCGTCCTGCTCCCACCGACGTGGTTGTGCTTGTGGTAGAGCTTCAAGATTTCGACGGATACTGGCATCTGGACGAAGAATTGGCCAAAGTGTTCAAAGCAACTCTTCTCGAAGTCACCTCTTCGAAGCCTTCTGACGGTTAGTTGGGTGATGATACAGCCTCGTTAACATGGTAGCCACCTTGTCAGTCAACATGCTCCAGTTGGTGGGGGAGGAGGATGTTGCCGAGGGTGGAATGTGGTGCCTTGGTGCCCTTTACGGCTTGCTCTGTTGTCGGAGGGGAGTTGGGATGATTTAGATTTGTGTTTGACAACTTGTAGTGAAAGACACGAAGGTGTGGGCCACAGCACTTGTGGTGGCCTACTTGCGAGTCCACCTGTCGTCGAGGAAGGAGGAGTGGGAGATGGTGGTGCGGAAGGCGGTGGAATGGTTGGAGGGGAGTGGAGTCAACGCGGAGGCGGTCATTGAGAAGGCGAGAGTGGCGTTGGAGAAACTTTTGCCGAGAGCATGACGTTGACATTGCTTTATCTGACATACCTCTCTATGTCGTGTTGTGTGATGAATAAAGGAGTGAGAGTGATTGTTTTGGACGTGATGGCGGTGGTGGTACAATGAGGGTGTGTGGTGTGTGAGGTGGCATTGTGTGCGTTGCGTGAGTTGGATAAGGAGTTAATTGCAGTGGTGGTGAGGATGTAGATGACGGGGTCGCGGAGTGTAAATGCGGTTGGCGGGAGGTGTGTTTGTCACGGAGGACGGCATTACGTGTGTCGTATGTGTCGCAAAAGGTGAGCATCAAAGCAGTGATATTTGGAGGAGGAAATAGGATTGGTGGGTGTGTGGAGGGAGGGACGATGGTGGATGGGTAGAGGATGTGAGTTGAGGCGATGAAGGTGGATTGGTAGATCCGTAGAATAGTCTATTTATAAAATTCGAGGCTTAACGTGTCTTGTGACTTGCGTCCACGGAGGATTGAAGGTAAAAAGGGTGATGCATGTAATGGTCTACTAATTGAAGCGTCCGACTCATATTTCCAGGCTGGATGGCCTGAGTTTAGTGGTGGGAGATCGGCAGTGAATGCGTACCGTTTGGTTGTAAGTGTACTGTCTTAAGGATTGAACACCTCTCCTTACACTCCATGCCATTGGACATTCCATCCCCTTAATGGGGTAGTGCAGTCTCTTTTATACGCAGCAAAGCACGAGGGAGTTGATACGGCCTAG